CAGTACTGCTATGTTGATGTGTTCCATTTCCATTTTTACTATGTCCAGCTTCCCTTAGCTCGTACTCCTCACATTCCATGTCCCTATTATATGTCAGAGATTTTCTTGGGCTGAGTAGTGAATTTGCTGGAGAGTCAGTGTGGTGTAGTAGTTTGAGTATTGAGTCACCCAATGGGTTTCCATGGCTGAGCAGGGAACTGAACCCTGACCTCAAAAGTTGTAGTCCCATGATCAAACCACTACACCACACTGGCTCTCCAGCCATTTCATACCTACAGATTAGTATGAATTCAGCACATCTGTGTAACTTTTATTAATGGGTAGTAGAAGCTGTCCCTATCTGGCAGTGGATGTTTATCATATGCTTTCAAATCATTTCCAACTTATATGACCTGAAGGTGACCCTATCACAAGATTTTCTTAGCAAGATTTGTTTAGGGTTTGCCTTTGCCTTCCTCTGAGGTTGAGATAATGTAACTTGCCCAAGGTCACTCACTGGATTTCCATGGTCATATTCCAATGCTCAAACTACTACACCACACTGGCTCTCCTGGCAGTAGAGACAAAATGTTCCTGACTTGTTCAGCTCAGGAACAAGTCCTGGGTTGCTAGGTGAAATAAGGTTCCTGTACCTTTAATGGTTGTGTGGATGACATACAATGCCTATATGACATATAATATTGTGTGCATGACTTATGAAGCTGCTTGACATACGATGCCTGCTGAAATTCCCTCTCCTGTACAGTTATTCAAGGTACAGGAGCCTCATCCCTTATTTCATTCTGCAACCCTATTCAGCTGCTTCTCCTTCATGAACAGATTCATGGAAGACAGACTTTATCACAACATACCATATTTAGAACTGAATACAAAGCTGTGCAACCACAACACTCTTTGTGTTGTATAGCAAAGGGTGAGGCAGTATTGGAACAGATCCAGTCACTCAGGAGATGTTGGTGTGCTTAGCTGAGTCAGAAGTACTAGTTTTCCTGTGTGGTCATGTCTGTTGACAGCAATAATTAAAGTGCCATGGAGAAGAGAGGCAGGTGGGTAGGTGGGATCTGCCAGCTACCGGCAGCCAATTCCCAAAACAAGTCTCTCCAGTTAAGTCAGGAAATGCTGAGTCAGACTAGAGTCAAACCAGTTTGTAAGAAGGTATTATTTACATCTATCGGGAACATTAAAAAAAACTTAATTCATTTCATCTTGTCATATGCAAATAGTAGTAGGGATGGTAAATGTGACTTTTCCCTTCCACTTGAACCGAGACATCTTTTGTATAAATTAGAAAATAGTTTTAAACAAATTGTAAATGCCAGTATGAATCAGTTGTTGCTCAGGTGATGAAAGCTCTGCAAAATAGTTTGCTCCTAGCTTCTACACAGACTATCTTGTCACAGTCTAAGGGCCTTTGCAGACTGCCAGAAATAGTGCAATTGAGTCCACTTTAAGGGTTAGGGTTAGGGAATCATGGGAACTGTATTTTATTGTGGCACCAGAGCTCTCTGACAGAGAAGGCTCAATGTCTCAGAAAAAAACCAATTCCCATGATTCCCTAGCACCAATCCTAACCCTTAAAGTGGACTCAATTTGCACTATTTTTGGCAGTCTGCAAAGGCCCTATCTTTGCCTTCCTTTCAGCAAAACACCTCTAAATAACGGCTCCCCTGCCATATATTTCTACTCAGATTAGCTTCTACTGAGTCCAATGGGATTTACTCACAGGCAACTATGCATACAGATGTCATAACTGCAAAGGAGGACAAGGCACCACAAAATGTAGGATGTTTGAAAAAAGTGTAGGGCATTACAAAATAAAAGCTAAAAACATTAATATAATTATAAATTCATTTCATGTAGTTTATTTACAGCTATATATTATATGCAGTATTTCATTATGTACAGTGGGCCCTTCATATTTGCTTGGGTTTGGTTCCAATATCCCCCATGGATACCAAAATCCAAGTCCCAAGCTCAATGCTCAAGTCCCATTAAATACAATGACATAGTAAGATGGTGTTCCTTATATAAAATGGCAAAATCAAGGTTGGCTTTTTGGAATATATATATATATATATATATATATATATTCAGTATTTTCAAATTGTGGTTGGTTGAATCCATGGTTAAGGAATCCATGGATATAGAAGGCTGATTGTACTCAATTATATTTTTCTGATGACCATATCTTGTTGTCTTGCAATACATTTGTAGAACTCTGAGCAAGACATATGCTTAAAATTGTACTTTATTAGCAGCAACCTTTGACATTTAAAGTCTTCCTTTTATTTGTCCATTTTGCTGAAATTAAGGGAACCTTTGAATTGTGTCCTGAAGCAGCCCATTTCCTAACACATTTCCCCTCCAAGAAACAAATGCACCCAGAGCTCTGAGGGCAAGTCTTCTCTGGTGCTGCTCCTAGGAAATAAGAATTTAGAAGGATACATCCTATCCCCCTATTTGCAGCAAGTACAGGCTGCCAAGATGAAACATTTCTCAAAGGGGGATAGCAAATGTGGTGTTACCAAATGGACTTCTCAGTGGTGCTCAAAATGGAGGATATTTTGGCATAATAATAATAATAATAATAATAATAATAATAATAATAAT